TCCCCCCCCCCCCCCCCCCTCCCCTCCCCTTGGAGAAGACGGTAGCTGTGCTGGTGAGTAGAAAGTGGTTTGAGCCACCTTTCACTTCCAAGTAGGAAGGAACGATTGGCCATCGGGCATCCGTCGTTTGGGAACAATGCCCTCTCGAGGACGCGTGGTCAACGGTCTGACCGCTAAGGCATGCAAAACACATAAAGAGTACGCCCTCCCACCCTCCCCGTCCCCCCTTCATTCGCCCCGGCGGCTTCCGTCGGGATGCTAGGCAATGGTTAATCGACTACGGCATGCACTGAGTATACCCCCCTCTCCCTCACTCCCTCCCTCCCTCCCTCCCTCTTGGTATTTTTTTCACGGGAAAACTTACGCGCCCGTACATATAGCCCGGGTACTCAGACCTGTACTGGACGACCGGCGATGGTGGGCCGCAGACGGACCCTTTCAACCACAGCCAGGACGAGACCACCATGCTCGGCGCCATGATGCGTATCTCGGTCCCCGCGGACGGCACCGGCTACACCATCCCCTCCGGAAACTACCCCGGTTCGTTCGTGTTGCCACCGAGTACAACAAATGAAAAGAAATGAATATCCTGTTGGTTGTCGGAGGACCGATCAAAACACATTTCCGTCTCGACGGTTGACACAAAAGACAGAGAGGGAGAGAGAGAGAGAGTTCAATTTCATGAACAACCTGCTGGTTGTACGCCGTGCAGAACAACTGGTCGGTCTGAACAGCCCGCGGGGGCTGTGATGCCCGTGTCTAGACTGGTGAGAGACAAGAGAGACTAGGAAGAGAGAAGACAGAGAGGACGGTGGATCTATGTAGGCTGTGCGGTCCCACTAATATTGACTGTCTTTCTCACTCTGCACCCCTCCTTTTTCTGTATCCTTCCATCCATGCTTTTCCCTTGCGTTGTCACCTCGTGTTCCGCTTTTGTATTTTGGCTTCGTGAACATGTTGTTAAAACCATCCGGGCGTCCTGCGCGAGATGTGCGCAATCCGTTGTTGTGTTTCTTCTCCATCCTCCCGCTTTTTTTTCTGTACCCATCCATGTTTTACCCTCTTTTTTCTCACCTCGTGTTGTCCCCACCCCTCCTATTAATGTTTTCCATCTGCTCATTTTTCTGTATGCGTCCACCAGTTGTTAACCCTTTCCCTCACCTCGCGCGTTCCGTTTTCCGTCTTGTGTCGTGTCGTGACGATTCACCAGGCGCGAAGGCCGAGGTTTGCGCCATCGGTCTCCGCAACCCGTGGCGGTGTGGCTTCGACCGCTTGAACGACGACCTCTACTGCGGAGACGTCGGACATACCCTTGTCGAAGAGATCAACTTTATCGAGTGAGATAGACAGCTATGTAGAGACAGACGTTACCATCATTCATGCGCCGCCTATCGACCTTCGCTGCAAAGCACAGCCTCCGGCGACAGCAGTCGACTTCGGGAGGGAGGGTCTCTCAGCGCATCATCGCTATCGATCTTGTGGAGTGGATTAGCTAGGGAGGGACGACGCTCTCATGCATGCTATGTAGAGACAGACGCTCTCGTGCATGCGTTAGGCGCCGATAGTGTTGTGAAGCGAGATAGTTGTTAGGGAGGGACTCTCTCCCATGCATGCTGATGCGTAGCAAGCTCGCTTTGTCGCTGAAATTTGCTTCTCCTTCTTGTGAAGTGAGACAACCATGCCACCACCCCGCCAAATCAACAACTCGCTTTTGTTGTTTTATCTTGGATGTGGACGACCACGACGCCGACGACAGTCAAGGATAGCAACAATCATCCCACCTAGTAATTCAACTTGCCATGCTTTCTTTTCTCCCAAGACGAAGCCGAAGAAACCTATAGCCGCAACAACAACAACAACAACAACAACAACTACGTGAAATTATGCAATCACCCCACCGACTTTGGTCTTTCCTTTCATTGATCTTGACTTCGACCGCGAAGCTAAGGTGCAAAAACTACAACCACAACAAGTACTGTGGTGAAGTGAAACGACCATCCCACCCGCCAACCCACCTCGCCCTCCTTTCTTTCTCGATCTTGACGACGACGACCCGTGCATTCACACTTAGGTGCGGCAACAACTACGGGTGGTCGAGGTTCGAGGGCTCCCGCTGCCAGGAGGCCGTTCAGGACAACGAGTTCAACCCCCCCTGCGACGGCATAAGCCGGTCGGGCTTC